ACTGAGGCGTGGTGTAAGGTCTGATGCTTCTACAAAGAYGGGAGAGAAACCTCTAGGTCTATAGATGGAGTAAAGTTCACACTGCTGCCAGGCTGGAGGAGGAATATCCTGGGATTGAACCCAGGGCATCGCATCGCACAGGCTAAAAATGAGTTCAATTTTGAACACATTTGAGTTTGAAGCGTCTTTGAAACATCCAGTTTGATTGGAATTGAAGCCTATCCCCCCATCCAAAGGCAACTAACTGCTCTTCATTCATTTATTGATGCTTCCAGAAAGAGATGCCACCAATGTTCCCAGGTGGGCCCAAACACCGCTATGCATTCCACAGCAGCACAGCATCCATGCTGCAGAGGTGCCCAGCAAACCTACTGACTACAGGATCATCACTTCCTTGGCAACACTTTGATACAACAGGAGAAAGCTGGTTCCCAGTCAACGGGAAACATCACCACCAAGACCAGGCAAGACATTCAGATCAAAAATGTACCTGCAAGTCTTCATGTATAACCTTTGAGAGTCCACATTTGTCTTCTAGTTAAAGACATTGGGGATCTCCTTGGTAAAGGGGGTGCTCCAACCAATAACAAAAGGACATTTCTATATGGCTCTTCATTCCCAATGCTCACTCCCCAAGGCTGTGGGGAACTGTCAGCCTATGCACTTCAGAGATTACCTATGTATTCATCCCACCTGAGATCTAGACCCCAGGATCTTCTTCTGTGAAAGAAAACCCCATTCCTTCCACTTCATGGGGGGAAAGAAGCCTCTGAGCTGTGTCCTCCACACTGGTACTCCTACCCGTCCAGAACCTGGGCCTGTTCTAATTAAAGACACACCCCAGGAGGAGTATGGGTTCAAGGTCATGTGGATAAGATGAAGGCGCCTGTTTGTTTACCTCCAGGAGAGAGGGAAGCTGAGCAGAAGCCAGTTCCTTATGTAAAGCTGGATTTCTCAGAGATCTTTCTTATAAGTAGTCTCAAAAATTGCTGATTTTTATAATGTTGTTAAAGTCATCTTTCTGGCTCATGAGAAACTATATTGAAGGAATATCAGAAATAACACCACAGGAAAAAAATATTTTAACTAGAGCCCTACGGTCATCAGTGAGTTCGATTCCCAGATTTGCTTTTGAAAACTCCTTGCTTCATAAATGGTTGAATTGAGGGCCGTGAACTGTTCACTTCACATTTTTCTAGTATTAACTGTTTGAAATATTTTAAAATATCTCATAGCAACTGTTTAGGATGTATGTAAATAAAGGGCTGCAGGAATTTCTCAAGGGGAATAGAGCAATTTACTTCCTATGTCAGCATAGACTTTCTCTTTTGGTTTCTCTCATATGTTATTTGATGGGACAACCCCAGTACTTTTTACTGATCTCATTCTACCCCATCCAGGCACCTTCCCATCTCATGACAGTTGCTCTCCATATCTTCTCAAAAACCTTTGCGTGATTCTTTCCAAGAACAAGGAAGAGTATGACATGACACACAAGAGGGAAACTGTTTAAGAATAAAACATCCTCTCCAAAATTATTTCTAGGGCAGTTTCTACAGAAAAGCTCTTCTCCATCTTCATTCTGTTTGCCAGGAATTTCAGGAATAAAAGCAACTTTAAAACCTCTTCTTTCTATCATTGCCACATTTATACTACTATGGTACCAAAAAATGGGAGACACTTCATGATGTAAATGCCACTGGTTTTAAAGTCAGAGTATTTGGGTTCCTGTCCTGACTTTGTTAATGAAATATTATATAACCTTGTAAAAAAAAATACCTCCCTGGCTCTTAAATGCACTATGTCAAGACTAACAAACAAGCATCAACCTATGAGCCAAGTTATGATTAACAGTTTCTTGTTGGAATCCTTGGTCATGCTCTCAATGATTCTCATAGTTTATAGATTCCTTTGGATCTTCTACATCATCGACATGTGATCTAAAAAATAAGGAAAATGTCTCTCCTTTTCTAATCCATATACCTCTTATTTACTTTTCTTGTCTTGTTGCTTTGGTCATTATTTAATAAGTAACTCATTGATTAATGAATACTATCAGTGACTGGAGAAATTCTTATCTTTATTCCTGACTTTTTATTATCTCTAAATGTTCCTTTTCCCTCTCCTCCTCCTTCCCCCTACTGCTTGCTCTACTCTACTTGCCCTTCTATTGTTATTATTATTTTAATTAGTGCATTATAATTATAAATATAAGTGCAACTCATTCCAGGAGTTTGTACACGGACATAGCATAATTTGATAGAACAAGAGCCTTTGTGGGAGATTCCAGATCCAAATCATAACAGTGAGTATTGAATTTTATCAAAGATTTTATCATATCATCCAGATGATAAAATGTTGTTTTGCAATTATTCAATATGATGGGTCATGCTGACAARTTTTTATAATAACTGCTCATTCTCACATTCCTGGGAACTCCTGGGAGTTCCACAGAACTCAGGGAAACATTTACCAATTTATTGTAAAGGATGTTACAAAGAATACAGATGAGTAACCAGATGAAGAAGAACTGAGGGAAGGGTCCAGAAGGTTCCTGAGTACAGGAGTTCTGTCCATGTGGAAGTGAGGTGTGCTACCCTCCCAGCACATGGATGTGTTCACCATTCCAAAGCTCTCTGTACCCCATAGTTGGGGGATGTTTTTGTATACTTCATCAATCAGCATGATCAATTATTAATTCAATCTCCAGCCTCTCTTCCCTCTCAGAGGACGGGAGATAGTGCTGAAAGTTCCAATTTTCTGATTATGGACTGTTCTTTCTGGTCCTCCATTTAACCTGCTATTACCTGTTTTTGAGTTTCTGAAAGGGGACAGTATATAGCTCCCATTCCAAAACTAGCTCAGAGCCCATCAAGGGTTTTCTCCTTAAAACAAAAGGTTCTCCTAACATCCAAGCAATTAAAAGGTTTTTAGGATAAACATATGTCGCAAGCCATCCATGTGCCAGCCATGTGCATTCGAGCATAGGAGGGAACTGGGCTGACATTGCTGCCTGATGACAGTCAGAATGACTCATCTCAGTGACTAGCAAAGTAGGGAAAAGTAAACTGCTTTTTCTCTCACTCTGCCTGTGATCCCACACAGCGCCTGTGATGGGTGTGACTTTCCAAGATATCAGTCAAACTGCTGACCACAATGCATCATCAAGCAACACTCCTCTCTCTGAAACCCAACCCCTGCATTATTTGGGTGGTACTTTCTTGTGGGAGGCCAACCTTACATGTGACTGAGTTACACTCCCCGGCTGGGTGCTGAGGCACTCAGTCGCAGAAATGTGGCACCCTTCTTGGGTTCGAGGGTCGGTGTCTCATGCATGGGGGTGTCTTGCTACAGCCCCATAGGTGAAACTATGCTCACCTGTTCCTTTGTAATATAACCCCTTGCCCTGTTTAGGATAGAATCTTCCATGGAAGTGCCTTGTGTGTGTCCCCTTCTCTTACTGTGCCCTTGGGTGTGGCCTACCCAGGTGTCAGTCAACCTGCTGACAGTGGACATCATGAAGACAGACTCAGCCCCCTGAAACCTGACCCCTTGCCTCATTGGAATAGCTTCTCTCTGATAAAAGGGTTCAGCGCCTCCTCTCGCTTTCTCTCTTTCTGCGGACCCTTAAGGTCAGAGGAGCCGTCACAGTGACCCCAAAGAAAAAGGTATTGTGTCTCTTGTGTGGTTATTTTGTGCAGCCCAGTCAGCCCAGTTTAACTGGAGTGACCCCTGAGCTTTTTAGTCGCAAGAACAGAAACCCAGCACTTTCTATCAAATGTCTTTTTCCCCAGGATTCAGGGCAAGCCCTCTCTCTCTCTTGCCTCTTGCCTACCTGGCTCTCCTTGCCCTCCAGCATGGGAGCTTGATTCTTGAGGCTGCAGAGCCATCTTGAACCCTGAAAAAGGAATTTTGTGTGTGTGTGGTTTCTTCACTGCCTGCTCAATTGACCTGTAGTGTCCCTGATTCCATCACATATTGCAACAAATATATGTATATTTCTTACTATTATATCAAAGCATCACAAGCAGTATTCTTATAATTATCATGTCATCCTAACAAATTGATCCCTTTGCCATTAAAAATATCCCTCTTTTTCTCTTTTCTCTAAAATTAATTTTATCTCATATTAGTAGATCCACTCCAACCTTCTTAAGTCTAGTGGCTAAATGGTATATCTTTATTCATCTGTTTACGTTTGACCCATCTGTATCTTTAAAGTGTGCCTCTTACAGACAGAATAGTTTTTTTTTTTTTTAAATCCACTGTAACAATCTTTGCCTTTTAATGGGAGTAGTCTGTCTATTTACACTTAGTGGGATTACTGATGTCGTTGTAATTAGATCTACCATCTTACTGAACATTAAATTGTCCTCCTAAATTTTATTGGCTTGTAGGACATCTTTAGATTATAAGATGCTCATGGGATGTACTCATGGCAAATATCTTCTCCCACTCTGATTTGCCTTTTTATTTTCACAATGGTTTCTTTTAGTTAAAAGAACCTTTGATTTTGCTGTAATATACCCTAAGCCTTTGGTTTCTCGTGTGTAAATTAGGATCTACAGCAGTAGCTCACTGAGTTCTTAGAAGGAAARAGTAAAAGAAATCAAGGATTTTCAGCATAGCTCCAGGCACTAAAGAAAGCCCAATAAATATTATTTCCTACAGTGTCACCTATTTGTTCCCCATCTAACCTTCTATTTCTTGTTTTTAAGCTCTGGAAAGTGGTTCTGTATAGCAAAAAATAAAATAAAATAAAATAAAATAAAGGCAGGCCTTATGGTTTTGATCAATTCCTAATCTAAATCTATGATTTATGATCCGCAACAGAAGATAGTTTCACCATCTTCAGGCTCAGGTTACTTTTCCCTCCTTTACTAGTTGCTGAGATGAGTCATCCTGGCTTGTCAATAGGATGTGACCTCCTATATTTAAAAGAGGTGAGCCCTGTTAAAGAGAAGGGGTTTCACTTTAGTGACTAACACTCAGAGAATGATATGGCAGGTTCACCAGCATGCCTCCTCTTCATCTGTCTCCTCTGCCAGCTCACAGGTGAGTCCATTCTCCCGACTATCTTCCTTATCCTGAGTTGTAGCTTCAAGTCCCTGGTTCCACTTTGAAGCTCTGGCTCAAATTAGAAGGTTTTGCCTCCTTATCTAGCATTGCTTTTTTTTTTAATTTTTACCAGTCTCTGGTCTCTGGGTAGGAAGGGACTATAGGGGAAGGAAAAGGAATGGTCTTGGAGACCAACTACCTTTTGACTGTGCTAGAAAAGAAAGGACTAAAAGAAGTGGTTCTGGGTATAAGAAGACCTATGTTGTAATACAGATTCTGTATGAATTCAGTCTTGATTGTCTGGTCCTCACTCCCTGAGAGGGCAGCTTGAAAAGCACAATGATACAATTGTATATTTATTTATAAGCATATTTGCTGAAATATATTTCTAACTGTATTTTAAATATATATGCATAACAATGATATCAATGGAAGAACCAGTTGGATTTTCTCTCTTAACCTACGCAATCCAATCCATCTGTCCTTAGAAAAACAATGCTTACTGTAGACACTCTAATCACAGGGAGGACTGAGGATTTTTATTCACAGGTATGATAGTCTGGGAAGATTTTAGTCTCTTCATTGTTCTAATTAGGAGTCTCGCAAGTGAGAAATCTTTCTCCTGTCATCAGATTCATGGGGTACCACTATACCAAGTGCTTTCCTTCTGAGCACTTAGTACAGCTGTTCGTTATGTGTACCCCAAGCCCCACCTGAACTAACTGGCCCCAAACCCCACAGACAGCACCTCCAATCCTTTCCTCCCCATTAGCTGGCCACTAAGTGGTCCACATCTACAGACTCTTACCCCTCCTTGAATTCATCAGAACTTCGGACTGTTAGGAAGCACCTGGTCCTAAGCGGGTGATCTGGAATAGGTTTACTTTAAAAATCACTCCCTGAACGGAAACGGTGATCAGAAATGGAACTTGAAGCATTTGAGATGGGGGAGGGAATACCAGGGCTCTGAAAAACCCCCAGGTGTCCACCTGAAACCTGAACTGTGCACAGCAAGGTGCAAGTGTGGAAATCTGTCATGGGGTCTTCCCCTCTKCCTGCTGCAGGAGACAGTGGGCAGTCTTGTGCTATGTCCCCCAAAGTTGAAAGGTGTCAGAGATCATCCCAGAGATTGTCCAGTAGGCAGGTCAGTGGAAGGAGGCCGACCCTAAACAAGGGCATCCTGGGACTGACTTAATAGCTCTATTATTGTGGGCAAGTTACTCACCTTATATTCTTCTCAAGTGCATAACAGATAATAAAATCTAACTTGCAAAATTATTGTCATCTTTTAACTGAGATGTCAAATGCAAAGTGACCATCATCACTACTAAAGCTTCTACTACATCCAAGGTGTTTTTCCATACAATTTCCTCAGAAATCTGTAAGACACATATTATTATACCTGTTTTACAAGGAAGAGAATTTGGGCTCATAGAAGTCAAGTTTCATGGGAAAGTTACACAGTTGTTAAGAGTCAGAGCAAAGATTGAATTTCCAAGACTAGTGCTCTTTTCATCATACTAAACTGCCTAACACTGAAGTTGATACCACTGAAGTGGGTTCTTGGTTTCCTTAAGAGGGGCTCAGTTACTGTGTATTTGAGCTGAGACTCAGGTGGGATTTCTTTCCTCTCCAGGCACACAAGTCCAAGTCAGGAAAAGGAAAGGCCTTTCCAAGGAGAACAGGTAGCAGTGTTTTAGGGAGGTGGCTATGCCAACAGGAAATCACTCTGGCCAAGCTCAGAGGGCCCAAGGAGTAGCTCTTACTTTTTTAGTATTCTCATCTGAAAATGGGTACAATAACCGATCCCCCTCACTTTTATGATGATTAAATGACCCAGTAGTTTTAAGGAGGCAATTCATAAATGGAAAAACATGAAAAGAGGTGAGGGGATATTGCAGGGAGTGTTGCAAAGAATTGGAAGAAGTAAGGATGAGGTGGTAGGAAACGAATGTGGGGCAGAGTGGTGAGGAGCTTGGATGGGAATATTAGGGTCGGATAGTCAGGAGGGAATAGCTGTATCAGATTGAGAGATCTGCAAGTTTCTATTCTCCATGTTTCACATGATCTTTCCAAGAGACATTAAGAAAGCAGAAGTTGGCTAAAGAGCAGTCTAAACCATTTTGTTTTATTTTCCTCTTAAAACCTTACACAGAAACAAACATGTAGATAACTGTAGGTATAGAGTTGAAGCCTCTCGATGGGGGGCTTCCACCCCATAGCCTCCACCCCATCATCCTCTGTCCCTACACTCTAGCCTTTAAACTCCCCAGCCCTAAGCTTCTGGGACTTATACTGCATTACTCAGACTCCCAGGGTGTAGCATTTGGGGAAATCTTACCTTCAGAGACTTGGTTCCTAGCCTTCCACTGACTTGAGGCACATCACCCTAACCTGCTGATCACCAGCCTCCTCATCCATGAAACGAAATTGGACCAAGCAGTCACTAAGGCTCCTCCCCGCTCTGAGATATTCTGGTTCTTGGTCTCCTTAAGGAAGGAGTCACAGCATGCCAGTGCTGCCTCCATGGCATTCCACAGTGAGGCACCAAGCGCTTGGAGAGGTGCTCGGACACTGGTCTGGCAAGCAGGGAGCGGGTCTATACTCCCTCCCCCTTATGCCTTCCTTCTGTACCGCCATCTCTTGTTCTGGCTGCATGACCATGTGCCTTCCTTGTCATCTGGCTCCTTCCTCCACTTAATTCTTGAACCTTTGGAGAACAAGACCAAAAGAAAAAAGGAAGTGACAACAAAGAGGAAGGGGGGAGGGGTGACAAGGGGGGAGGAGACCATCTCAGAGCCAATGCTCCTGATGCCCCAAACATCTGAGCCTGGGTCCCCTGCCCCAGCTCGCTGTACCTCCAAAAGCAGGTTGGCCGGGGGTGTTTCCTGCTTTCTTAGCCTCCTGGCTCACTTTGCTCAGAAGCCATGCAGAGATGTTTGGGGRGATGTCCTGTTTTCACTCTCAGCCACACTTGCAGAAGTAAGACCCGAAAATAAGAAGCTGCCTCAACGCCGGTTTCCACAGCCCTCCTCACCCTTCGTTCCCCCTGCCCTCATGTGACAGGTATCTGCACTTCTCAAGTGCTTTCAGATCCATAGTTACACTTTGACTTCCTCAAACTGCTGGTCAATTAAGGTGTTTTTTTTTTTTTTCTCCCATGAGAATTCCAAAAACTGAAACTCAAAGCCTCTCAGAGGAACAATCCCACTTCTTTGTTTGTGACCTTAAGAAAGTCACTCAATCTCAGTATCCTAATCCTATAGAGTCTAACTTTTCTCTCATGGAGTTGTTCTGAAGATCAAGAAAGATAGTGCCAGCCGGGCATTTGACACAGGCCCTTAATCCCAACAGCTGGGGAGGCTGAGGYAGGAGGATTGCAAGTCCAAAACCAGACTCTGTAAAACTTAGTGAGGTCCTAAGCAACTGAGAAAGACCCTGTCTCAAAATAAATAAAAAAATAAAAAGGACTGGGGATATGGCTCAGTGGTTAAGCACCCCTGGTTTAATCCCTGATACCAAAAATAAAGAAGAAAGAAAGAAAAACAACGCTGTTAAAGTTACTAACAATTTACAGAGTGGCATCTAGTGTTCATTGCTGGATCTGTGATTATGGGGGAACCAGAATGGAATTCAGGGCTCCTGGCTGCCAATAAGACTAGAACCCTTTTTAACACTTCTGCACATGGGGCGGCCGGCGGGGAGTTAGGCCACTCCTATGCCACTTTCTGGTAAAGACCCCGTGACTCCATCATCTATAACATCATCATGCCATGACTCTCTGGGAAGGGCCCCAGGACTCCATCCGGAACCTAGTGCTAATAGACTGGCCAYGGGCTAATACACATCAAAAGGCTTTGTCCAGTTACCACCCAAGGATCTATTTCTTTCTGGAGAATTTTAAAAATGAAGTAACATAAGTGGTGAATTTTCAGGGCATGGGTGTAAAAATAAGTGTTAGAGACTTCCTTGCGGGAGAACTTCCTACTGGGCTTTATGGGTTTTGAATAAGATTTATTTTAGATGGACAGAGACTCCTCTCTGGGCCTGAAGTAGGAAGTGAACTGATGGTCAGGAGAGGGAGGAAGCCTGGCTGAGCATCTGCTGGTGGCGGTGGGTAGCAGTCTTGGGTTTCGTATCTTTTCACAGCATTATAGATAGCATCATCCTAACCTTAGAGCAAAAGCCCTGGGTTTTCCTGGGGTAGGACAACCCTCGGTCACGTGGCACCCACTGTGCCAGAGAAGAGCTATCATTATAGCCGAGTGCCCTCAGACTTACCAAACCATTTAGCTGCTATGAAAATGAGAAAGGGATAGAATAGACACAGAGGAGGCAAATTCCAGCATTCCCTGCTCTGACTTTGGAAAAGCAACCCTCTGGAGACGATAGACAAGCCTCACAGTGGTCCAGTCCTCCTGGACCTTTAGGTGAGTATTGGTAGTTACTCACCTCTAGAGTTTTCTGACCCCACGAGTCACATTAAKCCCCTCTACTATGCACCCTAATAATACCTGTTACTTCCTTTTGTATCACACATACAAGTGCTTACTTACTTAATGACCATCTCCCAACCCCATGGATGCCCGAATCATGACTGTCTTGCTCCCCAGTTATGTATGTGGCTCCTAAACAAATGCCTGTCATAAATGTGAAATGAAATAAATTCTTGTCCAAGGCAGAAATAACTGAATGGGACAAATGTGACCTGCTTTGATATGGTAAAATACTGTAGAGCCACACAGCGCAGGTAGCAAAGCCACCACAGAAAGGGAGCTTCAGGTAAGCCCTGGASAGCTGAACAGAAAAGTCTCTTGTTTCTGGATACCTTTTTCCAGTCGGCTGAGAAGAATGGATAAGACTGGTTAGGTCTCACCAACCCTGCCCCTTATTCTCTGAACCCATATTTAGGAAATGGCAGGAAGTTATTTTCCTCTTTCATTCTTCTTCTTCCCACCCTGAAAACACACTTACGATAGGACAATATACTCCATCTGGTTTGTGCTGGCAATTTGTCCAATGTCATCCTCCAATTTCTCTCCAAGGGACAATTCATTGGAAGGCATTTTTTATACTTGCACACAATTTGCACACGGGGTATTAAACCCTGAGCAAATAGCACCATGTGTGTGGAAGATTGAAATGCTCATGGCTTAAATGCAAACATGCTGAAACACAAAACCCATGTGCTTGTAATTTTGCCACTGAAGTGGTTTGAATGTGGTTTGTCCCTGAGAGATTCATATGCTAGGAACTTGGTTCTCAATGTGGTGGCGCAGAGGTGTTGGAACCTTTAAGATGTGGGCCTAGTGGAAGGTGTTAGGTCATGAGAGTGACACCTTCAGAAGGAATTCACRCTGCTGTCCCAGAGTCAACTCTCTCAAGAACATGTTGTTATCAAGCAAAGCCACCCGACATTGATCTCTTCTGCACACGATTGGTTTTCTTTCAATTTCTCTGCTTTGTTGTGATCCAGCCAAGGGATCCCTCACCAGAGGCCTAACAGATGATACCACACAATCTTGGACTTTCAGCCTCCAAAACTATGAGCTAAATAAACCTCTTTTCTTTATAAAGTATCCAGTTTCAAGTATTTTGTTATTGCAACAAAAAAAAATGGACTAATATGCTCCTGAAATACCCTCCAAAAATCTAATGTGAAAATGAAATTGCTCAAAGATTGCCTAAATCCAGGATCTCCCTTGGGGACAAGGGATATCCAATATTTATTTGACTTCAAAATATTTACTCTTTCTATCTCTATTGTAGAAGTGAAAGAATAAATGTATTAATTGATTAAAAATTTAAAAATAAAATTAATTATTTACCAGAACTTTTTTGATATGCCTTGAGATGATTAGAGAAGGCAGTCTAAAAGCATCCTGGCCTTCATGTGGAAGAAGTAGGGAGAGTAGCTTTTTAAAAAATCAGATTACTTGACTGGATAATTTGATATATCTTCAGGGAACCAACACATATATTATGTGCTGACTGGTAAAGTATAGAGAGAAAAGTTTAAAAAATGGGAACTTTCTCCTAAAATACATTTATCCAGGAAGAGAAACTAGTACTTTTGGACATAAACCTGGCAAAAAGTTGGTAGAGACCTTAGACCTGGAATCGAAGGAGTAGGTCCACCACATCTGAGTTCCTCACCCTGAGCTCTGGCAGAGCAGCTTGTGTATGGGGGTGACTCACTAAAGAACGTGAAGGGGAAACGGGGCTCAACGATGTCCAAGGACTTTGGACTTGACACCTGAGCACTGTAGGAGAGTGGGAAAAGGGAGTAAGGAAAAGAACTAAAGTTGACACTAATGCCACTGTACTTTCAAATTGAGTGATACGTCCAGATTGAGTCCGAGTTCCCAGAACTGAAGTGACATTGAGTTAAGTCCTCAAAGCATCACCCACTAGCTATGTCCCTTGGATAAGTTACTTAATTTGTCAATTTATCTATTTATCTATCTATCTATCTATTTACTTATTTATATCTCAGAATTCTTATGAAGTCAGATATTAACAAACTTTTGCTATTAAAAAAAGATAGTAAATATTTTAAGCTTTGCGGGCGATGTGATCTTCATCAATAGGATCTCTGTTGCAAATACTCAATTCGACCTTAGAATTTGCAAAAGCAGCCATAGACAGACAACATGTAAATGAAGACACTTGGCTATGTTTCAGTAAAACTTTTTTTATTTTATTTTTTTATGAAGTAGCCCAAAATGGGCCAGAAAGCCTAATTTTGCAGGATTGCTTCAGATATTAGGCAGAATCTTACAGTAAATGTTTAACACAGAGTAAACCTTTATTACATGGCAACTATTACTATTTGGAAATTGTTTCCAGAACATTTGAATTTTAATAGGGATCAAGGAAATAAATCACTCGCGAAGTGATTTTGGATGTCTGGAGAAGTCAGTACCGAGAGGTCCAGCACAGAAATTTGTCTTTTTTTTCTTGTCATGAGTGACATCAGTGCAGGAGTAGTAGAAAATATTGTGGTAAGAGAGTAAGTTGTTAAACCAACAGAAACTCAGTGCTTGGTGGGTTTCTCAGGACCAACTAGGCACACAACGTAGTTTAAATTTCTTTTGAAAGAAAAAGAAAATGAACATAACAATAATAAATGTAATGAATATAGTTTGGATTATATTCATTTTTTAAAAAATGTTAATCCATTTATTTAAATGCATATAGCACATAAGTTACAAATTCTCATTTCTACCACAAGTGAGAACTTTTCCAGATTGCCTTCATTTCTTCCTTGAGTGTTTTACAAGAAATTCCAAGTTACATCCTGCAGTCTGAAGGTGAGAGCTGATATAGATCTGTCTGTGGGTTTCCCTGCAAGGCACTGAGCAAGATCCCGTGTTAGAGTCTGTAAACAAGTCAGGATGGCGCCTGGCATTTTGCCAGAGAAATGTTAGAGTTCCTAAACAAGTCTGGATGGTGCCTGGCATTTTGCCAGAAGAAGTGGTTTGTGAAGTAACACCAGCGAGCCATTAAGTGTGGAGATTCCTTATTGGTTGACTGCTGTATCTAGTTTATGCGAATTAAGATAAGCTGTGTGGAATGTAAAAATATCGCTCCGGTCCTACAATAAACGGCTCCTATTCCTGCTGTATCAATCTACACAAGTTGTTCGTCACCCCCCCACCCCCCCACCCCCCCCACCTGCAGTCACCCTTGGCAGGCAGAGAGTTCTGATCTAAGTGCTTCCTGGGGGCTGCTTGGGTTAGATGAGAATTTTTCAGGATCTTCCCAGGACCCAAAGGGGATGGTGAGTAATTGTTGGCAAAGGCAGGGACTCAGACTTATTTTCTGATTTTCTGTGTCTGCAGCCTCTGGAGCCCTGAAGGAGAAGTTTGGTGTCCTTGGTGGATCTGTGACCTTTCCTGTGGAAGCTTCAATGCAGAACATTGACACTATTGTCTGGATCTTCAATTCAAACACACTTGCCATCATAAAGCCAGGTGTGGAAGACAAAAATGCCACTATCCTTATGACCCGAAGTCAGAACAAGGAAAGGATGATCTTCTCAGACAGTGACTATTCTCTGACACTCCTCCAACTGAATAAGAATGACTCAGGGATCTACCGTGTGGAGCTGAACCTCTTATCCTCTCAGTCATCCTTCATCCAGGAATATGGGCTACAAGTCTACGGTGAGCAGAATCCGTCCTAATGGTGGGTAGCGTGCCATGGTGAGAGGGTGCACTCCCTGACAACAGCAAATGTTCYAGAAAAGGATGGATAGATGCTTGGCAAGAATTTGGGAGRAAAGGTCTGGGGTTGTGGCTCAGCGGTACAGTGCTCGCCTAGCGCATGCAAGGCTCTGGGTTCAATCCTCAGCACCACGTAAAAATAAATGAGTAAAATAAAGGAAAAAAAAGAATGTGGGAGAGAATGCATGGAGGAAGCTGACCTCGTAGGCCTCTGCTTACTCAAATATTTTGTAAGAGACTGTATGGTGTCGTCCTTGGGCAACATGAGAAGTGGCAACCACACAGATCTAAGTCAAATGCTTGCTTCTCTATTTACTAGGTGCCTGGGCTTAGCCCAGTTATTTAATTTCTTTGAATCTTATTTTCCATATCCAAGAAAAAAGCAATATCTACTTTAGGAAGATTATTGGATATAAGTGTCAATCCCAGGCCTTCCACTAAAGATTCTAAGCATTTCTGAAAAAGACATAAGGGTCAAAAAGAAGATAAAGGCTGGGTATAATGGTGCATACCTGCAATTTCAGCTACTCAAGAACATGAGGCAGGAAGATTACCTGAACCCAGAAGTTAGGGGTCAGACTATACCATATAGAAAACCCAGTCTCAAAAAAAAAAAAAAAAAAAAAAAAAAAAAGATTGGTAAAAAAGAAGATAAAAATATCCATTCTGTTTCTGGTATAGCTCAGTAGGAGAAATATCTCCTTCCAAATCTAGACTTAGGAACCCACCACCCAGGGAAATCGAATTTACAAAATAACTACTCACTCAGTTACAAGAAGAGTACTTGCCTCACTCACCCAGCTTCAATAGCAGGGAGACCAGGAAATGGGCCTCCAAGACCAGGCACCTCAATCTACATGTCTTCCATAGGGACATGGTCAAAGGAAACAGAAGATGTATATCCTACAGGCAAACTAGCTGTGGGTGGGAATAAAAGAGTACATACCTTCTTCAGTTCCATGTCCCCAATCTTTAATGGCTCAAATCTGTAAGTAGAGAAAGAAAATGATGGACAGCAGACTTGACCTCACCAATCAACCAACTGCTCATCCTTGGAGAGTGGAAGAGTGAGCACAATGGAGTGCCACTCCTATACTGTTCTCTCCTGGAGAATAAAAGTAGAAGTCTCTTCAAGGAAGCCTCAGGACAATAAGTGATGGCTGCATTATTGTCACATAATCATTTCTTTTTTTATTGCAGTTATTGTCACCATGGTTATTGCTATACAGTGGTGGGCAAGAACTAGGTAGTTCTCTTTCCCAGGTTCTGCTCTGAATTGCTGTTTTCTCTGCATTCTGAAGCTCCTTGGGGAGACTGAGGTTCAAGTTATCCAAGGGTAATTCAGACAAAGGAGAGCTGTGTGCATAATTTCCGTCCCTGGTTGTTCTTTGTCTTTCACAGAGTGCCTGTCAAAGCCTAAAGTCACCATGGGTCTGCAGAACAATAAGAATGGCACCTGCATAACTAATCTGACATGTTCCATGGAACAGGAAGGAGAGAATGTGACATACAGCTGGAATATCCTGGGGCAGAGAAGCAACAAGTCTTATGATGGCTCCATCCTTCCCATATCCTGGAGACTGGGAGAAAGGGATGTGGTCTTCATCTGCACGGCCAGGAACCCCATCAGCAGTAATTCCTCAAGTCCCATCCTTGCCTGGAAGCTCTGTAGAGGTGATTGTCCCTTCTTTTTAGGAGCCTCTGGTCTGGGTAACTATACCTTCTTCAATTCTGTGTCCCCAAAAATCAGGCCCTGTGTGAAAACCGGTGGCCTGTGGAAAGTCATCAGGCTGGGAAGAAAGTGGCAGATGCTCTAAACTCTGGGTCATATTTCCTAGTTGACTTGCTCCCTTTTCAGGCCTCTACTCATTCTCTCTTTAAAGATGCTGATGGTGATGGTTCCAATTTCCTCCTCACCTTGCTGTGTCTTCTGTTGGTGGTCTTCACACTCTGCACCCTTGTGTTGATGTTTCACTTGACGATGCGGATGAAGAGAAGAAAAGGTAGGGCACGTATGATTTTTGTCCTCATCCTCATTCATCCACTGAATCCCTCATTTATTTCTCGAGCATGTATCGAGTTGTGTATGAGGCCTGGTGCTAACACGAGACTGAGCTGAAGAGGTCATCGTGTCTGCCTTCAAGAAGCACACAGCCAGCCAACACTCTTCATTCCAGATTAGAGAGAGAGAGAGAGAGAGAGCAAGAGCTGCAGTCCTTGCCTTCTCTCCTAGGACAAAGTCCCACTCCAGTGCCCACTCCTCTCCTTCCTCCAGAGAGAGTCACTGAGGTGGCCCTTCTCTTGGCACAAGCTCTATACTCTTCACTCTACTCCCTGACCTGGGAGGTGATGGCCTCCAACTTTGATGCCTCCATGGACCGATACCCTCCAACCAGTCCTTCCTAGCTCCATCCTTGTCAGAGTCCCCAAACCAGTTCTAGTCTTCTCCATGGGTTCAACTCCAAGATCTCTCTTTCCTCCCCACTGCAGTGTAGACACACTCCTCCTGGAGAAGCTGGGCTCTGTCTCTCTCCAGGTGGCACCCCATTCTCCGTGTCCCTAAGCCCTGCGGATTTATCTTCTCGTGTCCAATGTCAGGAAGGGACCTGAAAGACTTTGAGACCTTCCTTCCGTGTTGGAAGCACTCTGAAAGCCTTTCTGACCTTCTCTGCTTCCCACTTTGGCCACCTCGGCCCAGAGATCAGGAAGTGAAATTACAAGAGCAACTAATTCATCCTGATTTTTTTTTTTTAGGACTTTCCTAATTTTAACCCTGAAAATCCCTGTCCCCAAAAGCCTGAATTAGTAAGATGGCTGGTCCTCTTAAGTGGGCCATCCAGGTGGGATGGTGGGCCAAGAGGGAGGAGGAGTGGTCAGAGAGGCAGACTTTCATTCACTCTCAACTTGGTTTCAGAGCCCATGGAGGGTGAAAAAAGAATGGACGTTCATCAGGAAATTCCTCATATCTGCCCCCATTCTGGAGAGAAAACAGTGTATGAAACAATTTGCGATGCCCATGTGAGTACTTTCCCTTTTGTCCTGGGACCTGACTCACCTCTCTGAGACTCGCCTTGTTTTACTGAAGATTTTTTTTTCATGGGTTTGGTTAATATGGGAATGGGGAGGAGGAATTAGGATGGATAGTCCTTAAAACCCAAGGCAACCCCATCTCCCCCAAGTCTTTATGAATCTACTTCTGGGTAGAAGTGAATTCACTCCTGGGGCACCTGATTCTCGTCCCTCGGTAACATACATACTGTGAACGGTACATGAGTCACCCTTCCTCCCCACCGTTCACAGTCTCCTCTCCAGAGGCCTGGTTACTCTTGCATAAGGCAGTGTGTAGTGGAGTGTGACTTTGGTGTGATGTTTGAGTCATGTTGTCAGAAGACGCATTGCTCAAGAAATGCTTCTTTCCTGTGGGCTGACTCCAGGAGGTCACAGTTCATRAGAGTTACATATTTTATGTATTTTTGGAATTCATTTTAATTTCACAGGATGAATAATGCAATAAACAAACCTAAGAGCATAAAAACATGAATTAAATCAGTGCTGTGACTTCCTAAAAATGTTATTCATAATCACTGTAATCACAGTCACCAGTTAGAGCGCTTCCCCTGAGCCATCCATTTTCCAGAACCCTCTTTTCATCTTCTCCCACCTCTGCTTCTCCCTCTTGTGACTCTCAGTCTCTCTCTGATCTTTTCTTTCTTTATTTCTTTTTTCTTTCTTTTTTCATTTTTTGTGGTACTAGGGATTGAACCCAGAGGCCCTCTAGCACTCCTGGCCCTTTTATATTTTATTTTTATTTTATTTCTCTAATTTGATGAGGCTGGCCTCAGGCTTGAGAACCTCATGCCTCAGCCTCCCAAGTCACTAGGATTATGTGTGTGCCATCTCTGCTATTTTCTACATGACCCAGGGTAGGTGATGATTCTTTTTGTTTGTTGCTTGTTTTTTATAGAAAATTAATCCAGCAGAAGATCCACTAAATACACTTTATTCCACTGTGCAGATACCAAAAATGGTAAGAGATTTAGAGCTGAGTTTCATCTAAATTGTCCTATCCCTTCTGCTGGTTCATGTTTAGGTTAAAAATCTTGGACCTCAGGAATCTCATATTCACTAGCATTAAAATGTACCTCTGGTAGTTCCCCCATCCCATTTGCTTAGGGGGTGACACAAGAATATGGGGAATTTAGAAAAGAATTCTGTTTTAAGAGAGAGATTTCCATTTTCCCTTTGGTCTGGCTATGTTACGTCTGGTTTGCACCCTCCCCTAGTTCAACGTGGTAAGATTTAAGGCTCATTCTTTCACAGATGATGTGTGGGAGGAGCACTTGTACCTTCCTAACTCCTTTCCCTTCCTCAACAGAACTGATAGATGGGGATCTTGAAAGCAGTTTGCTTAGTGACATGTCAAATTCATTGGCCATGCTTCTGTGAATGATTATAAGTTCAGTTCATTAAGTACTGAGCAAGATAAAGATGGGTTTATCCTAAAGAATAGTTTCTCTAAACTAGGAGGGATTAAACAGTGGGAGCAAGCATGGTGGAGGTTYGGGTTGGGTACCGTTGGACATAGTGAGTGTCTGGGATGCAGGGTCTTCTATGGTAGACCCAGATCCCTGCCCACCTCTAGCGTTCTGCTTCCTCATGTCGCCTACAGGTGGAGAATCCCTGCTCACYGACCATCACGCCAGACACACCCAGGCTGTTTACCTATGAGGATGTCATTTAGACATCAGCATGCTCCCTCAAACCGCACTCCAGAGGAAGTACAAAGAAATGCATCCACTTGTCCAGAATACCCGGAAGAAACCATTCCTAAGCATACACCTTTGCCGCAGTCTGTCTGGGCACAATTCAGGAGCCACTTGTCAAAAGAAACTAACTTTATTTTTAGAACTACAAATGCCAAACAAAACAGCTCCTCAGGAAAAACCCTCAGAGCCCAACTGCCACCACCGGCTTCCACAAGCCTCTCACCCACACCAACCTCACCACCTCCCACAATCCTCCTGCTCTTGAGGCCGATTGGCTGGGTCGTGTGGGCGGAGCCAAAGAAGTTCCCCAATGAGCAGCTCTGTGGTCTGAAAGGGCAGGGAAACAGCCCAATGAGCAGCTCCATGGAGGAGCCAATCAGCTAGATGTTGCTGGGGCTGCTGTGAGCCAATCATCAGCTGGCAGTCTGAAGGGCAGGGAAACAGCCCAATGAACATCACCGCAGAGGAGCCAATCAGCTAGATGTTGCTGGGGCCGCTGTGAGCCAATCATCAGCTGGCAGCTGGAAGTTTGCTGGGGCCCCTTTGGCTGTGGCTCTCAACACACCTTTGAGTTTAGGAGTTCATAATTCTACCAACTACTGAGAACTCTCTTTAAACCCAGAATCTATATCACTTCCCATATGGAATGCGACTGTGAATTTATCAGTCAATCTCAAGAAAAGGCTAAATATCTCTACTAACATGTAAATGCCTATTAATATCTGCCTCGGTCATATTAATGATGGCCCCAGGACAGGGCTTGGAGTCTCATTCCAGTCCAGGGTTAGGAGGACAGAACATACCAAGAGTCTGGTTGCCAGGAGGGCAAGAAGGCCAGGCCAGACAGGTGTGTCTGGCACCAGCAGGTATAGCTGCCAAAAATGAATGAATGAATCATTCACTATGTAGGGGGCACTGTTGAACTTAATTGGGCAGATGTGCTCTCTGCTCTCATGAACCTGATCACTCATAAACTACTTCTATGGCCAGTTACAGGAGGCTTAACACAAATTCCTGTGTATAAGTTCTGAATACACAAAACTTGAAAGTCAAAGCTCACAAGGACACAGAATTGTGCATGGGCAAGAACAAGAACACCCCTCTACTCTCAGAACTCCTACCACCACCCCACCATGGCCTGGCTTAATTTGTACTCCTAAGCTGCAAATAAAAGCCTAGGCCTTGTTAAGGTCTATACAGGAGCCTATCTCAATGCAAAAACTCTACAGGCACATTTTGGATCTAGTATGACACCTAGAGTTGGGATGTGGGGCCTGGTGAATGAATTACTTGTAAACTTTCAAAATGTGTTTCAATATTTATTAATAAGCTCTGCTAGGTCACTTTCACAAATAAGTCAGACATGATCTCTACTCCTATAGAACTCACCTTCTTTTTAGTGAAATGTTAAAGATTTGGGGAGGGTGAAAAGTAGGACTGCATTTGATGTGTTCCTGATACATGTTTTGAAAGGAGATACCAGGAAGGGAACTGGGGCCCCAGGGCTGGGGTATGAAATAAGGTGGACAAATTGTGTATTTAAATTTGTGAAAAGAGAAAACATCTGGGAGGGAAAACGTTTGAATATAAGATGGCCAAGTTAAGAGAAAATAAACTTGCAAGAAAAAAACAAAGAGAATGAACTCAGGCTGTTGTGAGAGGAAATAAAAGTTAAAAATAGGAGTAGGTGTGGAAACTAACCCATCACCACCATGAGGGACTTGGCTAGGCCCACCCAGAGCTGGGCAGGTATGGATTGCCTGAACCATAGCATGATAAATGCTGTATTTATTGCTACAATTTTCTGGGGGAATGGTGGGGAGTGTCCCTTTTAATAAAATCATGCTTTGAGGAAGGGGTGTTTTTTCGAATTCTTACAACAGTGGTGGGGGGGCAGGGAGTGGGTGGATAGCAGCACTTAGAAAGAAGAACTATTTATAATAAGGCTAAGATGGAAGCCAAGACTTTAAACTTTTCCAATACCAACAGGGTACTTGTGTTACCCACACTGATGTTACCACAGCTATGTTAATGTGCCACATCCTCAGGACCTGAAATGAGGTGAGACACTAAAGGGTAAAACTTAGGGGGGCAGAGGGGAAGGGTGCATACCAAAATATTTGGCATTAAGATAAATGATATTTTACTACAATCATTTTGAAGATCAAAAACAGTTCAAAAATTAATGATTAAAATGTCAAAATGTTAAATAAAGGGCTGTGGCTGTAGCTCAGCGGCAGAGCACTTGCCTAGCATGTGTAAGGCACCGGGTTTGATCCTCAGCACCACATGAAAATGAACAAATAAAATAAAGGCATGCTATGCTGTCCATCTACAACTACAAAAAAAWTTTTTTTTAAATCTTAAAAATAGAAAGTACTATGTCATGTCAGTCTAAGACTAATAAAAATTGTTATTTGCTGTTTGCCAAGCTACATCATTGCTCCTCTTCATGACAAAGCCAGATGTATCTTCAGGCAAGAATGTGAACTCCCCAACTGCAGGGATCCACCCCCGAATGACTTGAAGGCCTTCCCTCAGTCTGGAGCCAGGGAGATTTAGGTTTGGCATAATGAACTACTTTGTGRCTCCTGCCACTCAATGAACTGCCCAATGCACATGAACCCTATCTCCACTCTACCAGGGAGACCACTCCAGTAGCTCCAGAATTGGGCATAACCTGTTGTAAACTGGACAGCCACCTCCTCCTTTATTTGGCAAAGAACATTCCATGGAAATCTTTGATGTTCCCCCCATATAAATAAAACAAGCACGGGCTCCATCTTTCTTTTGCTGGTATCTTTTCAGCATGGAAGCTCAATCCCTAAGATTGGCTGGTCGGTCCTGCCCCCGCTTTTTAAAATCACTTTTTGTGTCCTGTGGGTTTTTTTCACCATTTTTCTCTTTCTTAGCTTTTATCCCGCAGGCAGCCCACTCCACCAAGAGGAACCTTCACTTCTACCACCCGCGCAGGATGTGGCAGAACCCAGTAGTCTAACTGACCCAAAAAGAAAAGTCACAAATTAATTTTCAGTGTCTCTAAACTGAGGTCATATAATGTCTCTGAATGAAGCCTCACCTTAACCAGAGCTCAGGTGTTTGCCTGACTCTCCTGGGGGCGGGGGCATGGTTCAGATCTTACCAGGATGCACCTATCCAAAACCTCCCAATAATAGATAAGTGTCCTAGGACCTCCTCACTGTCCCCAGTTTACCCCCACTCTAGCCCCACAGTCCTTTACTAAGGGCCAGTTTCTTTCATATAAGTGTGTTCCCTAGRTCTTCATAAGACTCCCATGAGGTGAGCTCATCTGAGGTACTTGTGTCCAACAACAGAAGATGAAATAGAAACCAAGAGAAATAAAGAGGCTTGTCTAAAGTTTTAGACTTCAGTGTAACACCAAGATTAGGAGAAAAAAAGAAGTGCCCACTCCACCACCATCTACCTCTGCAGAGGAGGTGGGAAGCTGGGGCTCAAAGCTTGAGGGAGATGGGTGCCTCTTGTCAGTGCAGAATGGGGGAAAGGATAATAGCTTTGGAAGTAAGCCTGGATTCAGATTCCCTCACTAGCACAGTGACTCTGGCCAATGACTTGGGTTCTGTGAGCCTCTGCTTTCTTTCACTGTGGGGATTATATGAAACAAGTGTAAGCACTTGGTACACTTGTTTCATACATGGAAATTCATACACGGAACATGATAATTAAAGGAATAGTTCATAAAAATGGTTACAACTTCCTAAAAGCAACTTAGGATAAGAAATGGAAGCACTAAAATAGAGAATCCATCCTTGAAAGAAAGATTTATAGTGAAGAGGAGCAAAAGGAAGAGGGAAAGTGGGAATTCGATTCCCTCAGAGTGTTGAAAGAATTTAAACACAATGGTGGCTCATTGAGCAAAAATTGGATTGAGAATTATCTGTCTCAAAAAGCATAGTGAGAGGGCAGTTGAGGCCTATTTCTCTCCTTTACTGAGGTCTATGACAATAGACAATAGACCTCAGTGAATAGCATCCTTTGTTGTCTTTTTTAAAAGGCATTATAACAATACAAACAGATGCATAATTATAGGGAAAAAAGACATTATAAAATTCACATACAAAAATATGCACTGTGTCACTATTTGCATTAGTAAAATTCTGGAAACAAATTGGAGTCAAGCCCCAGATAAAGGTTAAGTGAACACAAACAGGTTATAAACCTAGAAAGGGTTGTAAAATAGCAAGTGAAAGTAGAGTGTAAAATTCAATTTGCTGTATGATGGCAAGTATTTCCAAAAGACACATATGCGTAGAAAAACTTGGAAGAAAATACATCAAAATATCAATGCTGGTTGAGGAGAATGAAAGTTTAGGTGGCTTGGATTTTTTTTCTTTTTATGTTCATTTTCCAAATGCTTTTTAATGGGAAAGTGTGTATTACATAATAGAGCAGAAGAAGTTTTAAACAGAGAAGAAAGCGGTGTGTCACTAAGAGTGGCTGAGGGGAAAGTCTGAACCCTTATGTTGTAGGTGTGGGTAGGAGGATGGAAAGTGTCCCCTGAGTGAGACTAGGTGGGCAGAAGGGAGGAAGCCCCTCCAATGATGATCAGAGGAAAGAATTAGTCTGCCTCAGAGAGGGTAACTGAGACTTGGAGGGCCTCAACGTATGAGGTGGGAGGGGGGAAGAGGATTGCTAGGCTTTAGAATGCATCCTTCCTGCATGCCTCTTCTCTTGATAGCCGACTCAGATGGTAAATAATTAAAATTGATCATCCTAGTTATCACCCTACCCCCCTTTTAAGCCAGTGGCTAAATGGGGATCCAGGGAGACCAATAGATTTGGAATCTGGACACTCAGTAAGATCTTTTCCCAATGCTGTCTGCAGATAAAGGCTCCCCATCCTGAGCTCAACCAAGCAAGCAAAGGAAACCACTAGCTTGTGAGGGTTAGAAGTCAACCATATCCTGAGCACACCACATGCAGACCTAGAGCGGTG